CGGGGCATTGCCACCGACCATCGTGGAGCGAACTCCCCTGAAACGGGGAGGAGACCGTGCGAACTGAATCGCGTAGCCGAATCTGATCGTTCTGATGACCCAGCGGGACAGCCCGGGAAGCTCTATCCAAGCCTCCAGGAAATGAACCAGCGGGGTCATGCGAACCACAGACGTCCCCCCGGAGGGGCAGCGAGGCGGGTCGACTGGCATGTGCGCAGGAGTTACCCCGCCCAGATGCACAGTGGAAGCCCGCTCCCCGACAGAAGAGACCAGGGAAGGACCAGCGTTCCACGGGGGTCTGTTCTGCCGGGGGTCTGGCGATAGAGGGGGAAGCGAGTGGCGTAGTCCGGGGACGACACACGCTGCCTTCCGCACCCTCAGAGACAGAGAGGAATGAGTGGGCTGACGCACGGGGACGTCGAGGGCACTCGTTCCTGTCTGTGTGCTCAGTGATGATGTCAAGTCTTTCTTTAACCAACTCAGGGTGCTGCCCACCCGTGGGTGAGCAGCGGGGAGCTGAGAACAAAAGATTCTCCCCCGGCCCTCCACCGGGGGAAGGAGGGGGCCTGCTACCGCCTCCTGGGAAAGACTCGACTTCATCACCGAGCAGCCCGTGTCAGGAACGTCGCTTAGCCTGGCGTTTAGCGGGGCGTGCGGCCTGAGGGGGCTGTGATGCCTGCCTGCGGCCTCCTCCGCGGCCCGGGTGAAGGCTGCTGCTGGGGCCGCGTGGGAGGAAGAAGCCGCAGGGGGGCGTCCTCGGCGGCGAGCAGGGGGAGGCGTCTGTACCGGCGGCTGGGTGTAGGCAGCAGCTGGCCGCCGGGGCAGAATATGTTTGATCGCCTCCGTCTGCTTCTGGGCAGTCGAGAACTGCTGGGCAAAGTCCTCGACTGCACCGCCGAAAAGGCCAACCTGAGATAACGGGGCGTCGAGCAGACGAGTCCGCTCGACATCCCGTGTATCTGCGAGGTTAAGCCAGAGATGGCGCTCCTGGACCACGTTAATGGCCATCACCTGACCAACGGCGCGAGCGGCCACCTTCGTTGCCCGGAGAGCAAGGTCTGTGGCGGCTCGCAGCTCGTTGAAGGCCGTTTGGTCAGTCCCGCCCTCGTGCATATCTCTGAGCAGTTTGGCTTGGAAGACCTGCAAAGTGCTCATCGCATGCATGGCGGTGGCCGCCTGTCCCGCCGCTCTATAGGAACGCGCCGCCAAAGCAGACGAGAACCTACAGGCTTTGGATGGGTGCTTAGGAGTACCACGGGAGGAGGCGCTCTGTGGACACAGCTGCATCGCAACAGAGCGCTCCACCGGGGGCATCCCAGTGTACCCACGGGCGGCCCCACCGTCGAGGGGAGGAAAGGCGGAGGAGACTAGAGCACGCTCTCGAGAGGACAAAGGAGCCTTCCAAGAGCGCATCAGCTCCGCATGCAGCTCGGGGAAAAAAGGTATTGGGGTTGGCTGTGGCTTTGCAGCGGCAGCCTTGCCCAAAAACCAACTATCCATCCGTGAGAGATCGGGGCAGGGCGGAGGGTTCCACTCTAACCCGATACTCACGGCGGCCCGAGAAAGCATGGCCGTCATCTCGGGATCAGACACGGGCAACGCTGGCACTCCCGAGGGAGGCAACGCAGCCGCATCCTCATCTCCCGAAGAATCAAGCCCGCCTTGTGATGCCGCGATCGACATCGCATCATCATCTGGAGCGCCGAACGAAACAGACGGTACCTGCGAAGAGGCAGACGGCTGATTCGAAGTGGCGCTCGCTGGTTCTAACACTGAGGCGGGGGGCGTGGCCCGAGGAATCGTCGGAGCTTTGTTCCACACCGTCACCGTCAAATCACCCTGACCGCGGGTCGACGAGCTTCTCGTGGAAGAAGCTGATCGAGCGGGGACGGGGACTCTCACTTTAGTCAGATCATTGAGTCTAGATCTCAGTGTAGAGATGGTCATGTTCCCACAGAGGGAACATGAGTCATCCACGAACGCTGCTGCTGCATGCTGAATGCTCAGCCATGCAGAGGAGCGATCGTGACCATCAGAAGATGACATGAATCGACCGCACCCAGAAGAGCACGGGCGAGACATCTTTAAAAAGACGTGCCACGTGCAGCTCTTTTAATGAGAGGAAATTCACTCTTTCAGCGCTGAGGCGACCAGGGAGAAGCGCAAAGTCTGGCAGACCACTAATCAGATCGCAGGCGATGCAGAATCTCGCTGTGTATCGCCGTCACACCAACACTGAAGAGGACGCTCGTCTCGAAGAGTCTTTGATCAGTGAGAATGGATTTAGGAGTGAAGAGTTCTCTTGGCTCCGAAGCGAAAACATACTGCGGTTGCGTTCACTTCCTCCTTTTATACTCACGGAGTAGGGCGGAGTACGCTATGCAAATTTCCGCAGCCCCAAGGCATTGCATGCCATTGGCTCGTTGTTAAATACTCGAAGAGGATTGGCTTTCATGCGAAATCCCCCAATCTCCGTCACTTCTGACGTAATTTGAAGTGACTACGAAAGGGAACCTCTGACTCCTCTTGCAAGATGAAACTTTCGCCTCAAAACAGTTTTACCTGTGTTCAAAATAAACACTGCTCTCAAAACAGTTTTACCTGTGTTCAAATTCAAACACTGCTCTCAAAACATAAACAAAGTGATCAAAATGCTATACACCATCAAGCAGTCAATAAACAATACACCAAAAAAACTAAAACACATTGTTCAAAACATATAGTTCTCAGGGAGAACTATATGTCAAAACAAATCTCAAAACAAATTTCATATTTTTTTTCATTGTACAGTCTACAGCAGTGCACTGTACTACAGTATACGGTACAAATGAAAGGAGTAAACGTGATCAATGTGCTTTTTGTCTTTGGCCTGGGTCAGGCAAAAGCACTTCGTCGACATCACAAGCAATATTGTCCCTTGTCCCCCTCCTCCTCCTCTTCTTCCTCTTCCTTGCCCCCCTCTTTCTCGTCCTCCTCCTCTTTCTTGCCCTTCTCTTCCTCTTTCTTGCCGTCCTCCTCTTCCTCTTTCTTGCCCTCCTCCTCCTCTTCCTCCTCCTCTTTCTTGCCCTCCTCATCCTCCTCCTCTTTCTTGCCCTCCTCCCCCTCTTCCTCCTCCTCTTTCTTGCCCTCCTCATCCTCTTCCTCCTCCTCTTTCTTGCCCTCCTCCTCCTCGTCGACCACCTCGCATACGCCCTCGTCCTCTCACATTGTTTCTTCTATCCATTCTCATAATTTTTACCTTTCCACCTTCTACAACCTCTCAGTTCAGTTTGCTCTCTGAACTGGCTAATATTGGTTGTCACATCATTTGAAACAGGTTGAATCAGTTTTGAGTGGTTGTGTTCAATCAAATGACATTTGTTCTCTATTTGAATTTGATTGTTGCCACTTGTGTTTACCAGTATGGATGATGTGTGCATTGGAGTGCAGAATGTGTTTTGAGAATGAGAATGTGTTCAGAGTTTTGCTGAAAAGTCTAAGTGAGATGTGCAAATTGTGTTGTACCATGTTAAATTGTTTATGGTATTGACAACATACTCCACAATTAGCTAAATGAGTTCAGGCAATTGAGAACTTTGTTCAGCCAATATATTTTAGTGTTTTAGCAATTGAGAAAAACTGTAATATAATTTTAAAAAGAAGCATAAACACAACGAGGGGTGTCTGTTTTATCTGTTTTTGTGACTAACGTTTCTTTAGTATAACCATGGAGTATAAAATTCAATATAAATTCTTGGTATTGCATTGGACTCTACGATCGGCGGAAGTTATCGAGCATCCTTAATGCCTCACTGAAAATACCGCCGTGCATAGAGCCCATTGTCAGTATAGAGTCCCCAAAGGTTTATATTAACCTCAAGTAACAGTATAGCATCAAGAAGATATTTTGATAGCTAGCGAATCTAGATAGAATAGATAGCTAAAAGTTTTATTTTTAGAATGACGAAATGCTTACGCATGGTGAATGTTAATGTCAATTCTTTAAATTATTGCCCCCAAATTTTGCCACGGCTCTACGTTTCACGTACAGGTATGAAATTTGGTACATACATGTAATGACACAATACCTACAAAAAAGTCTCTTGGAGTATAGCCCTAAATAAACAGTAAGTCAGCTATTTTGAACTTCCTCCTAGATTTTGTGCATTTTTCATAATTTCCTGATGTTGTACTTTAACGAACTCTTCCTACAGTTTTGATCTAATCCTCTTCAAATTTGGTGAGTGTAATCTTAAGGCCTTTGCGACGTTAAATTGCGAAGATCTTGAGTTTTCGTCGAAGGGTGTGCCCTTGGCGGCCTGACAAATGTACACCCAATTTCAGCCTTTTGGTGATTTGTGCATGAATATCTCTTACAGTTAAATAATGCTTGCAGTTCCGATGTTGCTAGGCAACCACAGACAGCCTATAGTAACTCAGGCATACAATGTCCGATCTGCCCCAAACTTCACATGCTTGATAAGAGTCCAGTCCTGAACACACGACCATGCTCATATTTGGTTATAGCAATAGCGCAGCCTGCTGGTAGCAGGAAGTGTGGCAAATACAAACCCTTTGACATAGTCCTCCTATATTTATTAGCATTATATACTGCCCACCATGCTCTGTTTTCCTAAAACTGCAGGGTGGTGGCAGCACGGGTGCGAGGGCCCTTTTCATCGCTGCTTGCAGCTTTAATTGATCTCGTAATTCAAAATTACATAACTCGACATTCTAATGAAAACAAGCTTCTCTCTGATAACGTGTAGCATCTCCAATAATTTAGTCTACTTAAACAGCATCCCTCCACAAACCACGGCAAGCTCATTCTTTTTTGAGTGCAACGGCCATACTTTCAACAATCAATGATAAAACTAAGTTACATTCGGATGTACGTCAAGATATGAAATTAAATATTTGTTGCTACTTCATTCCATAACTATATCTGTAATACAAAGGAGTCAGAATAACCACTTTCAACAACAAACCTACATTGTGAATATTATTACAACTTGAAGTAGTTGGTTTCACTTCCTCAATCTTTATTTGTCAGCAAAACCTTGTAGGCAGTTGGTAGATCAGGATGTCGGAGGGTGAGCAAAATTGTTTTTGTAGGTTACCATCTAGAAATCCTGCATTAGGGAGTCAAAAAAGAAAAGGCCTCAGCATGTGTCTGATGCCATAACACGGTCATGTGGCCAAAGATTACAAAAGCCGGAGTTGATTAACAGGTTACACATTAATTAAAACATCAGAAAATTTAAACCTTTTATTACTAAAATAACACTCAAGGTGTCATTTTCCTTCACAATCCTATCTTTCGAGTTTATTATGTCCCCACCCCACCCCACACACAAAAAAAACATTTTAGAATAAAAAAAAACAAAAAAAAAAAAACACACATTTTACATAGCAAAAACTGTGAAGTATTTACATTGTGAGGAAAAAAAAACGATCGGTTTGTCTGGACCCGTCTGTGAGAGGCTTTCTATTATGGTTCAATTCAGTCAAAAAAGGGAGGCACTTCATTTCAGATAACCTTTACATTAGGGACTTAGAAAACAAACATTTTAATCTTTAACAGGAGCATAAATATTGGTATGCTGAAGTTGGTTATAAATATTCAAACCCCAGAGATAACTAGTAATAACAGTTTGCTGGACACCATTAGAAACGTCTGAACCAAAAAGTAGATCTTTCAAATTGTTTTTGGAAGTAGCGAATTGAGGTAAATTGGCCATTAAGCTGACTGTCTAAAAGTGACAACTTATTCATTTAGTGAGATTTAATTTGTTCTTGTAAATTAAATTAATCCTAAAATCAATCTCCCAATAGGACAGGCTTGTAAAGTCAATAAAATGAGACAAGAATAGTTCACTCTAGAGATTCAGTACCACTTTGAGGTAAATGTACTACACCAAACCCAATATTTTAAACAACTGTGTTAAACTATTTTGTATTGTTTTTAATAGGAAGGAAACCGTATAAAGTTACTAACCAGCAAAAGTTCTTATCACCTGGTGCATCTGCAGTTTAAGTCAACCGTGCACTGATTACATAAAATGAATTTAAACTGAAGTCACTGGTTTAATCAGTCAACCAAAGGGGCACATTTGGATTATAATCTGCTAATGTCAAAAACAATTGGTCTTTGAATACCCCTCTGATGTGCTTGCCTAGCCATTTCTCACATTCAATATCTGAACAACTCAAACATTTTAAATGCTGCACTCTGCACAGTTTGGTCACTTTTGAAGTTAAATAAGACAGTCCGATATCTGCTAAACATGCCTCTCTTTCTCAGTGAATGACAAGGTGAGCATATGTACAATAAAAACAAGATCATTCTGAGAGATTTGAATCAAATGACTGGGCAAAAGAAAAGTCACTAGAAAAACATGAATAAAAATAGAAAATTGAAAGTCTTGTGATGGTACTGAACATTCTGAATTGGAGTCTGTTGGCTCAGTCCTGGAACAAAGGATGATCAAAGGTGAAAGTGTCATATCTTCTCCTGAATGAAAGGGTGCTGCAGGGCCTGGTTGATGCTGATTCGTTTAGCAGGGTCCAGCATCAGAGTTCCATCCAACAGATCCTTCAGTTGCATGACCTTCTTCCGTTGATCCTCAGGTAACCTTTGACCTCCGATCATGTCCGCAAGTAGGTCTTTAGTGGGGTTAATAGTGCTCATGACCGTTACCTTCTCCTGAAAGTGCAAGAGAAAGAGAACGGTAAGAAACAGGAAGCAGAAGTATGCGGTGATATAGTTTATCAAGAGTAAATTAGAAAATCAATGCATGTGAGATCTGAGAACATACCCTTTCAGTCACTTTGTCTACCTCGATGTACAGGAAGTTCAAGTTCTGGTCAAAATGTTGGTCTTTAAACAGGCCTTTCCGAATCATCTACACACAAATCAATAAAACACCATGAATGACACTTAAATAAGCAAAAAGATTTGTTCATTTTGATGAACGAGTTCGAACAGGAGAGTCACGAACGTGCATCACAGAACAGAGCAAGGCGAGCATTTGAGCTTTTAAAAAAGAAATATCAAAATTTAAGTTTTATATGACTGATTGTTTCACTTGATAAGACCCTTATTCATCGTCTGGAATCGTTTAAAGCCCTTTGAACAGTTTGCACTTTGGACCTTGAACCGTTTGGTGCCCAGTAAAATATATGGAGGAAAACAATATGGGAAAAAAAATCCTGGAATGTTTATCAAAAACCTTAATTTCTTTTCGACTGAAGAAAGAATGACCTGGATATCTTGGATGACATGGGGGTGAGTAAATTATCAGTAAAGGTTTTTTTTAAAGTGAACAACTCTTTTAAGACTGTTCTTGTGAGGATGCTTGACAAAACGGACATTCCGTCATAAATGTATTTGTTATTGTTCGTTCAAGCGCGAAAGAACTCGATACTGGCTTGAGTCTTTCTGTGCGTTGTGTGTGTCAGGAGGACATTCATTGAAAGCACGTTCTCTTTTGTCTTGTCGCGCAAGAATGGTTTAACGCATTTGCATGGATAACGGCGTGATCATAACCAAAGGATGACAGAAAGAACAGATGGATGCTGCGTTAATTGGATTAAATATTTTAAAACATTAAAGCTGGACTAAATTAATCGCATGCATTGACAGCACTTTGACATCATACATTGCTGACAGAAAATACTGAAGTGGACTCGTTTTCATGGAAGGCCTACACAGAATGTTTTTTTTTTAGTAAGCTACACTGAATGTTCTACATTTAATATTTAGCAAACAGTGGGCCCTATTTTAACGATCTGAAACGCAAGTATCAAGAGTGAAGCGCAAGTAACTTTGTGGGAGGGTCTTGGGCGCTGTTGATACTTTACCGGCGGGATAAATGACTCTTGCACCCGACGCAAGTTTAAAAGGGGTTGGTCTGAAATAGTTTCATTATTCATAGGTGTGGTTTGGCCGTAACGTAAAAAAACAAAACAATCACAGCGTCATCCAACATACCCTTTAAGAGCAGGTGCACTTGTTGCATGGCGGATTGTTATTATTATGGCGGATTTACCAGGAGCGGTTCACAGCCGAGGATACCGACGTTCTCGTCATGGACACCACAATGATTTCCCTCATGTGTTCATATTTTTCCTTGTTATAATATATGATTTGCAAAAATAAAAACTGCTGCATCTGTGTTGATAAGAGAATCAAAATGTATGTGCGTTGTGCACCCACTACATTATGGCATTTAGGGATGGGCATTCGATTAAATTTTCTTAGTCGATCGTCGGAAGAATTAACGATCAACTATCGATTAATCATTGATATTTTTTATATTCAAATGTATTATTTATTTAAATTTTTATAAATTAAAATTCAATGAAAATACAAAAATAAACCGTGTTTTTCCTCGATTAGATCTTTATTACAAGATGATCAACTTGTGGCAGTTAAACTGGGTGTTCGGTTAGGCTAAATTTTAAGATACGCGCGGCGGTGCTCCAACGCAACTGAACCTGCAACTGCGAGTTGGCCCTCGTGAGACCCTCGTTTGTTCCAAAAATAATAAAAAAATAACTTAACCAAAAACATAATATTTACATCTGACAGGTTATGTCAAAATATAACTCAACTATCCAAGGCACGGAGTCGAGAAAGGGTGAGAGAGATTAGCCTACCTAACAAATTAGGCTAGGCTACTTAAAGCCACATAAAACATAACTCGCATACAACTTCTGCTCCAGTCTACTGACTTTTGTTGAGAAAGATAAGGATGTTGATGACATGATCTGGGGTCAGACGCGACCGCAACCTGCATGGTGACTTTTAAGCCTTGTTTGCACTTTCGCCTGGCTCTTCAGCGCGAGTCTCTGCAGACTGCGTGTGCACCTCCCCAAGCGGACGAGGTGTTTATACTCGACACGGTTGCCAGACTGTGAAACACCGAAAACAGCAATGTCATCATTTTTGCTGCGCGCACCTTCACGCTCATGCGGACGCGTCATATGTAAACAAATGTTTCAGTCCAGCCGCTGAAAACACTGCTCTGATGAGGGGACTGACATTGCCGGCAGGATGCACAGGTACCTCCGCGCTAACATGACCAGCCCAGGGAACACGTTCACTTTCCACTCACACTACGCAACTCAGCAGCATTAATGATAATCGATAACAAATTAACGTGAGCAACGAAATTCTTAATGACCAATAATCGATCGTCGATTAATCATGCCCATCCCTAATGGCATTATATACAGTATATTATATAGCTGTTCATATAACATTATGAACAACGCACCACTGACTTTAGACTAGTTTTTTTTCTGGTCAGTGGTGAAATTTTTTACTGGAACTGCAAAATAGCACTAGGGAATGCTTGCGCCAAAACACTCCTCTTTTTTGCGCCGACCCTCCCAGGGAGCGCAAGTTCATTTCCTAATTTACCGACGTGCGTCTGTGGAGGGGAAAGTCCGCTTTGCGCAGGTGCAAAATAGGAATGATACATGTCAGTGTATAAAGTATTTGCGCCTGGTGCAAGATAGGGGCCAGTGAGTTTCCATTATCCTGACCTGAGCTAAATTTCCTCAATCAACCAATTCACATCTCCTTTCTTTCTTTTCATCCATGATGACATTAGTCACCTGTTGTTTGTTTCTGGTGTTTCATCACAGACTGTCACAATTAGGGGTGCTCCGATCAGGATTTTTGGGGCCGATCACCGATTACCGGAAGCTGCATCACCCGATACCGATTACAGTCTATTTGAAGCCTTCTATTTATCATGTAGCATTATTATTAAACTATATTTAACAACAATGTACATTAAGTATTACATTTAAGAGAAGACAATGTATCATGAATTTATACAAAAAGAAAAAGGTGAGAAGGATATTACCCCTCTAGGGGGGTCCAATTATTTTATAGTCTGCTATAAAATTAAGAAAAAAAAATAGCACAAATGTATAGTACAGCTGTTTAATGAGGCAGCAACTTATGATAGATAGGACAGAATAGAACAAAAAAATGCAAAAAAATTATTATGATATGATTATAAAAGACTCCAATAGAGTTCGGCACACAGCGCTTATGCGCATCGCAAGCGCTTAATGATGCGCTTGAGGCAACATGAGTCACAGCTCTTCAAGTCCGTTTGGAAAAGTTCTAAGCACAAAAGAGAATACATATCGATGCATAGTGTATTATACAGCATCTATCGATGCAATAGTTTATTGAGCCTTTTCTTTTAACAGTTTTACATTTCAGTTACTGTGCGCGTGAAGAACAATGATAGTGCTCTCCAATATTGTGATAGCCTACACATGGTAGAAAGGAACATGATTGAGTTACTGCAGCAAGAGAGTCAATTTATGCAAAACCAGAGCTTTATCTACAGATCAAGTAATATTAACATTTAATCATCTTGGAGAGAGTTTTAATCGTTGCTGACCGCGATGCGCTGTGCTGTTTTAATGCAGAATGGAGAATGACTGACGATGCGCTGTTTGAATGTGAATGGAGAATGACTGACAGCGGAGGGAAAAGTTTGCGTGAACTTGAATTTAATGACTTAAACATTAATTTCTATCTCACATTAAACTACAGTATGGCTTCATATATATTATGGGTTTTTGAACTCAACCTGAGCGCTCGTTGCCGCAGCGATCAGTGGATGCAGTGTTCTCTGTAGCTCGTCTTTACTCGGATGTGCGCTTCCGTTGCGGACACTATTCTTTCCGGTGATTTTACGGGTTGATCAGAGAGGCTGCACAGTTTGACAAGCAGACAGCGGCGTGGTACACACATTGCAGATGGATTGCTATTGAATTGCTTTGTCACACACCTTGTACAATTGCCAGACAGCCGAAGCCATTTTTACCAGGGCATAAAAAAAAAAATTGTCTCACGAGTTTTGCATCATCTGATCGGATTTTCTGGATCAGCCTTTATAGAAACCGCCGATCACACATCCCAAAGCAATTATCGGCCAATCGTGATCGGCGACCGATCAATCGGAGCACCCTTAGTCACAATCAATTTTTTTATAGTCTATGATCGCAATCGCTATATCTGCTCATTAAAACTTTCAGCGAGCTATTTTACACAGGTCCTGCTCCTCCATGGTAATGACGGCTTTTGGTTAAAAATCACAACAAATGCATTTGAAAGCAGGGGGGACATCATCCGTGGGCTTTATTGGGGCCCCATGAAATCCGTTTTATTTTTTCCCAAATTCCGTTTTATTTTTTTCCAAATTCCGTTTTTTCCGTTTTTATTTTTGGCAATTAGGTTTACCCTTGACTGTTATTTTAGTCGTAAAAAGAGTGTGATTTTAAAGTTAATGATTAAAATGTATTAAAAAAATACAAATAAATTAGGAATGACCTTAAATTTATTGAGGTAATACAGACATTTACTCAGTAGCCTTTTCAGGACAAATACTGCATGCAACATAACACTGCACTCTTCAAGTAAAAACAAAATATGGTTATGATCTTTAAACTGTCCAGTAATACAAATTATATTAGTTTATATACGTTTAAATAAAGTCACTGTCTCTCTCTCGCCCAGTGTCGCTCACGGAGTTCGCTTCGCTCACGCTCACGGAGTTCGCTACGCTTTTGTCCAGTCCGGCGCCTCATAGACAGATGCGGTGTGCACATTGTGTGTGTGTGTATGTGAGAGAGACGCGTGAGTGAGAGGGAGACAGAGGGAGAGCGGGGAAATACAACTGAAAGAATACGCTGCGTGTTTTAAATAGTTTAAAAAAATTAAACGCAGTATGTGGCGGCGAATTAGTCTATGTACGGGAATCACTGCTTAAGTCACGTGTAGAGGTCGACCGATATGGTTTTTTTCAAGCCGATACCGATCTTTTGAAATCCGGGTCGGCCGATGGCCAATTAATGCTGCCGATTTATTTTG